TCTTCCAATTTTGATGCCTTTTCTGACCCTGGCTAGGACGTGCAGTTACTATATTGAATAGTAGTGGTGACAGTAGGTCTTGTCTTATTGCAGTTCTTAGAGGGAATGCTGTCAGCGTTTCTCCAGTGTGATGATGACTGTGAGTTTGTCCTGTATGGCCTTTATAATTTTGAGGTATGTTTTTTGTATGCATTGTTTGTTGAGGGCTTTTGTCATAAAGTGGTGGTGGTTTTTATTTAGTGCTTTTCCTGCACTCACATGGCTTTTGTTTTTAATTCTGTTTATGTGAATCACATTATTGATTTGCACGTGTTTAACCATCTTTGCATATCTGGGATGAAATCATGGTGAATTATCTTACTGATGTGCTGTGGATTCAGTTTGCTATTATTTTCTTGAGTATTTTTATATTATATTCATCAGGGATATTGTTCTACAGTTTTTTCTTTTTTGTTTGTTGTTTCTGTGTCTTTTTCTAACTTTGGTATCATGGTGAAATAAGCTTCATAGAATAACTTGGGAATGATTCGTTCTTTCTTGACATTATAGAATGATCTCAGTAGGATAGGTGCCGGTTCTTCAGGTAGAATTTGCCTGTGAATCTCTTTGATCCTGGGTTACCTTTGGGGAGATGGAAAGATTTTTTTATTATTATTACTGTTATATCTCCTTACTCGTTACTGATTTGTTCAGGATTTCTATTTCTTCCTGGTTTGAGTTTGGGAGCTTGTGTATTTCTAAAAATTTACCCATTTCCTCTAGATTTTCTAGCTTGTGTATGTAGAGGTTTTCATAGTAGTCTCAGATAATACTTTGTGTACTTGTGGTATCAGTTGTCTCCTTTTTCATTCCTGATTGAACTTATTTAAATCCTTTCTCTTCTACTTTTGGTTAGTCAAGCTAGTGGTCTATTAATTTTTTTTTTACCTTTAAAAATATCGATTATTCATTTCATTGCTACTTTGTATATTTTTTGTTTGTTTTTGGTTTTCATTTCATGCAGCTCTGCTCTGAAAAGCAAGAAGAAATAGTTATTAAGCTATTGGCATTATTCTAGGTAATGGAAAATGAAATTCTGAACTAGGGAAGTCTTACAGAGGGAGAGGACAGGATAGAATAAGAAATCAGTAATGGGCTGATCGGGTTCAAGAGGATCAAAGGAAAGAAGGAAACTAATGTGACACCAGCTTTCCTGTTAGGATGATGTCATCAAGTCTAAGAGAAGAGCACAGGTGGAAGACCCAGTTGGGGGGGACTGTGTTTTAAGCATGTTGTATTTGGGGTGCCTGAAGCGTATCTGGACGGTTTTTTAAAAAAGCATAGTGATTCAGAAGGTCACAGGAGAGATGAGGGCTATGTTTTAACAATGGATAATAATATGTTCAATGGTTTAAGAACATGGTTTTTAAAGCCAGACTACCTGAGTTGGAGATCTGGGGCCATCATTTACTGGCTGGGTGAGTGTGGGCAAGTTATGTAACTTCTCAGAGGCTTCATTTTCTCATCTGTGGTGAGAATGAAAGTTGTTATATATCTTTTAGATCAGTAGTTGGTATATAGTAAGCACCATATATTTGTTTGCTGTAATATTATTTTATTTTAGCTTTTATTTATAGAATGTTTGTCTAAGCTAATCCTGTGCTAAGAACTGATAGATAATTTCTCATTTAATATTCATAGTACCCTGTGATGATTACACTGTTATTATCTGAGAAAACTGAGACTTTAGTCTGACCAACTTTCCCAAACTAGGTCACTGGGAGATAAGGGGAAGAGCCCGGATGCAAACTCAGGTCTTAAGAAAAACAGGGATCTAATTCCTGAGAATGGACGAATCTACTTGGTGAACATATATGAAGGGTGAGGAACCAGGAATCACCAGTATTCCTCAGAGGCTGGGGTGGAGGGCAGAGATATACAACTAAAAATGTTCAGTGCAAGAGGCAGAAAGAGAAGCAGGTCAGCGAAGTCAGTTGCACTTTTGACCCAGTAAGATAAGCATTTCCTTTTGAGTCTGTTCTTACAGGCTTTTCTCTTCCATTTCTCTTGGTGTTGAGATTGTATATTTGTTAAAAAGTATATTTTCATACTTCTGTATGTAAAAAAATTAAGCAAAATAGTGAATCCTACACCAGAAGTATCACAATATACAGGGTGGCCATAAAGTTTGTGTGCAATTTAAAATAGTTGACTACTAATAGATTTGATGTGTGATAAATGTACTTAAAATTTAGAACCCTAGAGTGGCCTACCCGTTTCAGATCCTAAGAGCACCCTCCTTTCCTGAGGCAGTGGTCATAGGGTGATAAATTCTATCTGCTTCTGTGCACAGCTCAGTGTTTTCCCCAGGTCCTTTAACCTGTATTAAGTCTCTTTGTCTGAGGCCCCCTGGAATTTATTCTGCATCTATATATTAGTTTAGAGGGATGCTATAACAAAGTACCAGAGACTGGGTGGCCTGAACAACAGAAACAGATTTTCTCATCATTCGAGAGGTTGGAAATCTGGGAACACGGTGTTGGCAGAATTGGTTCCTGTTGAGGACCATGAAGAATGAATCTGCTTCAGGCCTCTCTCCTCAGTTTATAGATGTCTGCCTTCTTATGACTTCTGTATGTTTTTATCTGTGTCCAAATTTCCTCCTTTTTTAAGAACACCAGTCATAACCTCATTTTATCTTAATTACCTCGGTAAAGATCCTGTGTCCAAATAAGATCATTAAATCTGAGATAATGAGGTTCAAAAAGCTAAAAATATGAATTTGGAAGGGTCACAATTCAGCCCCTGACAATACTGTGGGGTGGAAAGCACACACGTAATGCTCCTTTCTATTCTGTTTTTGTTGTACCCCTACAACCTGAAAGTATAGACTCGGACCCCTCTTAAGTGCAATTCAATTGGAGATTTATTGAAGCTGTCAGGGGACTGTTGCTCTGAGACAGGTAGCCCCTCTCAGTAGAGGGCAGGTTGCCTTATATAATTTTTGAGCAAGCATATTACAGAAGCAAAACGTGTCTGGTTAGCTTACGGGGGGTGGTGGTTTCCAGCTTCGGGGGTTATAATCTGGCTAAATTCCCATCATCGTTCACCTGAACTTGGGACTTTTTCGTGCTTCCTTGTTTTGCCTCTGAGGGGGAAGGAGGAGGAAGGAGTCAACCTGGGAACTTGTCCTGTGCCCAGAGTTGACTCTGGGGGGACAGAAGAGGAGGGAGGCGGGCCTGTTCCTATTCCCAGAGTCGACTCTGGGGGGTAGGGAGGTGGGCTGAAAACCTGCCCATTCATTTTGAACACAACAATTATCAACACAGAAGACTATAACAAAAGTGATAGCAATCAGTGCATCAGAGACCCATGGGTGTTCTCTAATTCCCACACTATCTACCTGGAGATAGTGTCAGATTCCACAGGGTGAAGTTTGAGTCCTCCATTTAGACACCCCCTGCCCCCAGCCACCACAATCAGAAATCTGAATCTCTAGAACTTCTGACCAATTTGCTTCAAATTAAGATTCCTACAAAGAATTCTTTGCGTTTAATTTGCTGAAATAGCTCACAGAACTCAGGGAAACACATTTAGTGGTTTATTATAAAGGATATTACAAATGATATGGATAAACAGATGCACAGGGCGAGATATGGGAGAAGAGGTGTTGGGCTCCCATGCTGTCTCTGAGCATAACACTCTCCAGGAACCTCTGTGTGTTCAGCTATCACGAAGATCCCAAACCTTGTCTTCTTGGGCTTATGGAGATTTCTCTGGATAGGATGATCAATATTTATGTAGAAATATGACTGGTTAAGAAGATGATGATCAAAACCCAGAGAAGCTTGTCTGTCTCTGTGTGTGTGTGTGTGTATATATA